AGGACCTCCTGAGGTCTGTGTTACAGGTCGTTGTTGAAAAACTTACAGGTCGTTGTTGAAAAACGCGCATTTTGAATGAAGAGACCTTCCAAATAGGCTTTGTGTGAGCAACATGGCGGTTTATTCAGCTGGGTGCAGGTGGGCTAAGGCCGAAAAGGGCGTTAGCAAAGGGCAGTGGGACAGGAGTTGGTTTTATAGGTTTGGGTAGTTTTTTGGGGGGTTGGGGGTGTTGCAGAGTAAGTTCAGTTACAGTGGTGGGGGTAGGGGCAAGGGAGTATACATGACCACAAGTTCAAGTTACAATGGCAGGGCTGGGTGAGAGGTATTTACATTTTCATAAGAACAGTTAAGATGGCAGGCAGGGGTGGGTGAGGGGCTTGTCCGGGGAAGGTCCGCTGGGTGATCAGGGACAGTGGTGCATGCAGGCGGCGGGGGGGACGTCACCGAGGCAAGCAGGACTTTAGACTTTCAGGTCCAGGCTTGCATATGGAGACCTGACAGTCATGGCCACTCATATTTGGCTCAGAATAGACCTCTTCAAATATTTTAGAGTCTGACTCATTTCATCAACATGTTTAACCCCTCCAGTCTGGGGTCCTATGTTTAGGCAGCCTGGCAGACACACATAGCATGTGATATACGGGAAGCTGTGTGCCAATAACCACCTCTCCCCCCAAGCTCCCTCCGCCTTTCTGCTGCTTGGGATGGAGATGATTCTTTGGGTGCCCTCTGCAAGGTTCTCTGAACTGGCTGCACCACAGGCCATACCCTAGTCAAGCCATGGTGACCCAGTGACTCACACATACACCACTGGATGGCCTCCCGTGTATGTGTGGGAACGTCCGAGGTAAGAAGAATGGCTAGCTCCTGCAAAGCCCCATTAACCCACCTTGCGACATTGTACCATTGTGCCTGCCTCAGCCATTCCTGCCTTAACTGATAACCCAACGCTGTGACTCTGGACCTTGTGACCACCCCCCCCCCCGGCAACACCCGCTCCAGCTTGCAAAAACTGCCCTGAACTGTAACTTCTGTAGCTTTCCACTGCCCCCCCAAACCTACAAAACCAGCTCCTGCCCCACCGCACCCCCTGACTCTCTTTTCAGACTCAGCCCACCCGCACCCAGTGAATAAACAGCCTTGTGCTCCCACAAAGCCCGTTTAGGGGGTCTTTTCATTCAGAGCTCGCATAACCCCCTCCAAAGCCATGGGGTGAAAATGGCAGAGCGGAGGAGGGCACCCTGCTGAGCAGCATGCGGGCCCAGCACTGCTCCTTACTTGGACAAGAGGCAAGGCTCCCAGGGCTGTGTACCTGCTGCAGCAGCTGGTAGGGCTGTGCCAGGGGCAGAGTGACCCCGGAGACAGCACTGTCCCACAGAAAAATCATGCAAGCCACCAGTATGAGCCACGCAAGTCATTTAAACATTTCCACTAGTCATATAAAACATCAAAAGAAACAGTTGAAATTCACTGTTTAGAGACAAGGCCTCACTCTGTCGCCCAGGCCGGAGTGCCGTCGTGCAGTCAGGATTGGTGGGAGGGAAAAGCAGCTTTTAATTGGAGACCCAGCAAAGCGAGAGGGTGACCAACCAGCATTCTAAACTGTCACCTTGGCTGGACGCAGTGGCCTACCTGTAATCCCAGCACTTTGGGAGGCTGAGGGGGGGTGGATTACCTGAGGTCAAGAGTTTGAGACCAGTCTGGGCAACATGGTGAAACCCAGTCTCTACTAAAAACACAAAAATTAGCCCAGTGTGGTGGCGGCCTGTAATCTCAGCCACTAGGGAGTCTGAGGCAAGAGAATCTCTTAAAGCAGGAGGTGGAGGTTGCAGTGAGCCAAGATCGCACCACTGCACTCCAGCCTGGGTTATAGAGTGAGACTCTGTCTCCAAAATAGAAATAAAAATATAAAACGTCATCTTAAAATTAAAAATTTACCCTCAGGTTTTCGTCTGATAAGATCAGACAAATTTTTGAGATAAGATCTTGCTTTGTCATCCAGGCTGGAGTGCAGTGGTTCGATCACGGTTCACTGCAGTCTGGAGCTCCCTAGGCTCAAGCGATCCTTCTGCCTCAGCCTCTGCAGGTGGGCTGCCAGGTAATTTTTCAAAATGATTTTTTGTAAAGATGGGGTCTCCCTGTTGCTCAGGCTGCTATCAGGTTTTAGAGCCAGAGGGAGTGGGGAGGGGCGGGGTCCTTGTCTTGTTCCCACCGTCCCTCAAGAGGGGTGGCTGGCCAGGATGTCGGACTAATTGTTGGCGACCGCCTCCCCCTAAGCAGGAGGATTCCTCCGGGGCTCCCGCCGGAAATTGTTTTAGGATGAGGCTCCCCTCTGGTCTGCCATAGGGCAAGGGTTGGGCTGAGGGGCGCAGTGAGCAGAGGGACGGGATGAGGGGTGGGAGGGGAAGGAAGGAAAAGAACGTGGGTGATCTTAAAACGGAAGTCCCTGGCTACACCTTGAGCCTCACAGATGGGGAAACTGAGGCATGGGGGATGGCGGGGGCCGGGGTGGCCTCTCCATCATCAGTGACTGAGGGGTCTCCGGCGCCATCGGCTGAGCTGGTCCCTTAATCCGCAAAGGCCCCACGCGGCGCGCTGGCGACCTCCAGGGCACCCGGCCGGCGTCCCCGGGTGGCTCCCGGACGCTGTCGGAGGTGCTGGGCGCCGGGGGAGGGGGCGCACCTGTCCCGCCCGACTCGGCTGCTCGCTCTGCCCGGCGGGAACCGGGGCCCCTCCTGCGCCCGCACCCCGCGCGCAGCGCCCGAGACGTCTCCCCGGGCTGGGGGCGCGGAGTCTCTCGGAGGCGCCACCGCCGGGGAATTCCGGCCACGCCTGCGCGGGCCCAGCGGCGGCGGGGGCGGGCCCAGGGCCCGGTGACCCGAGGGGTGACTGCGCGCGGCGGCTGGTGGCGGCGGCGAGCTCGGGGGGAGGCAGGTGCGAGCGGGCGGGGAGCAGGGAGCCCGTGGGCGGGCGGGCCGGGTCCCCGGGGAGCGGCGCCTGCGTCCGGATGCCCCTCCCGGCCGCCTCTTCCTGCCGGCTCCAAGTTTCGGTTTTGCCGCCTGGGCGCAGGGTCCAGCCTAGCCCCGCGGCGCGCCCTGACCCTGTTCCCCGGCTGCAGGCGGGACCGGGGTGGGGACGGAGCGGGGGCAGCGGGCATCCCTGGGACCCCGGCGCCATCCCCGGAGCGCAGGACGCCCCCGACCCGCCCAGCCCCGGGCTCGGAGGAGCCTTTGCGCCCGGTGGTGCTGTCCCCGGGAAGTAGCCGGGGCGTGGGCGGGTAGCGGACGGGGACGGCCGGACCGGGGCCTGCACGAATGGCAACAACTGAAAAGTGAAGTCGCAAAAAGAGACCCCTAACTTTCACGCGGGAGGCATCGCCGCCCCGAAACCGCACCGCGCAGCGTCCTCCCAACTCCGCGAAAGTCGCCCGAGTGCGGGTGCGGGGCTCAAGGCCAGGGTGGGCGCCCCTCCCGGATGCCGCCCGCAAGCCGGCGGGCGGGGCCCTGGGGCAGCCCGAGGCCGGCAGGGAAGGAGCTGTGCGAAGCTGCTGGCGCCCCTTCCCTGCCCCCCACCTTGTTTACTTCGGTTATGGTTGGGGGATGGGCTTTGATTTGAGCGGCAGTGTCCCTGTGGCGGAAAAATGGCAGAGAAAAGGCAGGAAGTGATTTGAATGCATCAGTGTTGGGTGCCGAGGGTGCTCTCTTGAGTCTTTCAACGCCTAGGGCAGCAGATGGAACTGTAAGATGCTTTAGGGGCCGGGAGCGGTGGCTCAGGCCTGTAATCCCAGCACTTTGGGAAGCCTAGGCGGTGGATCACCAGAGGTCTGGAGATCGTGACCAGCCTGGCCTATGTGGTGAAACCCCGTCTCTACTGAAAACGCAAAAAATTAGCCGGGTGTGGTGGGGCATGCCGGTAATTCCACCTACTTGAGAGACTGAGGCTGGAGAATCAGTGGAACCCGGGAGGTGGAGGTTGCAGTGAGCTGAGATCCTGCCACTGCCCTACAACCTGGGTGACAGCTTCCCACAACTGCTCCTGAGTCTGCGGTTTCTCTAAATTGCCATCACAAAATTTGCCACACAGTCTGTTTTGGAGTGGCGTACATTAGTCTCCCACACAGGTGAAGCCGGGGAACCACCACTCAGCACCTCCATCCCTTGTTCAGGCCCTGCCTGCAGGAGGTTACCCAGTGACACGGAGACCCAGTGGGAGGAGAGGACAGGGCCAGAGCAGGGAGGGGCCTGAGTGTCCTCCCGGCTGCTGAAGGTACCACTCAGCTGCCACTCCGGCCACTGCCCCTGTGGAGTTTTTCGGTTTGAAGCCAGAAGAAGAAGGTGGTGGGTGGGCCAGTGTGCCTGTGGCTTCTTACGGGGGAAGGAGAGAGTCAGCTCCTCCACTGTTAGATGGCCAAGAGCCCAAATGCCATCTCCACTCTCACCCTGGAGGCCAGGGGTGCTGGCCTAAGTCTTGGCCTTGGTCTGGACTGGCTGTAACCCTCACCTTGGTTTGATGCCACCACCACAGAGGCTGTTCTGAGGGCACGTGGTCAGTGCAGAGTGGGGCGCTTCATGGACAGCAGCCCCCTCCATTACTAGGAATCTGACTGCCTGCCCAGTAGCTTTTGGCCGCCTGCTCTCCCCACGTCACCTGGGGGGCAGGTGCTCTAGTCTCCTTTAGAGAATGAGGAGGGGGAGGCACCAGGAGGCTGAGCGCCTTGCCCAGGGCAGGCTGTGGGACCCCGCTGGACAGCACGCGGCTGCCCCATGCCTGCCTGGAGCATCCCCTATCCCCACCCGGCCCAAACCACATTGTCAGCAGGAGAGACGGTTCTAGGCTGACTCAGTGAGGGACCAGGGCAGAGACTGCGAAAGCTTGGAAGCCACTACGGGGCAGCAGAGAGGGGGGAGGAGCCGGGCTTGGGATGTGCTCCTGTTGGGTTTCGATTAACCAGGGGACCCGCTGGGCTGCTGCGATTTCACTTTCCCAGAAAATGAAACCGAAGCCGTGGTCATGTGACAGGAGGTGTGGTATATAGCGGGCTGCCGGCAGCTCCCGCTGTTCCTTCTGGATTTGCAGGGCACGGGCGCTGGTCTCGAGAGTCCTAGCAGGACACATGGAGTGTCCTTCCTGCCAGCATGTCTCCTCGGAGAAGTCCCCCAGGTTCTGCAGCCAGTGCGGAGAGAGGCTGCCTTCTGCAGCCCCTGTAGCAGGTGAGGCCTGGGTGCTGGTGGGGGCTGGGCCGGTGGGGCCCCCCAGAGGCATCTCACCTCCCTTCTAGGAAATGGAAATCCTGGCCAGCAGGCAGCCCAGGTGGGGCCGAGGTCCTCTGTGGCAACTGAGCGCACAACAAGTTTTGTCTGGGCTTCTACTAGAGGTTTCCTCTGCTTTTGTAAAATTTCGGTTTCATTTCCTAGAGAGAACTCAAGGGTTCTTCCTCCCCTTGGGAACAATAAGTGTTTTGGGCTGAGCTGAGGGCTTCGTGGCGGGTTTCAGAGGCTGCTGCAGAGGAGCAGAGTTCGAGGCTTTGCAGGGATGAGAGCTCTGCCAGGGGTTAGTTTGTGAGGGACCGTGGGGGCCATGAGGGGGCCCCGGGACCTGCCCGGGCATCTCCCTGGCTCCGGAGGCCGGTGGAGAGACAGGAGTGGGGCAGTGTCAGGCGGGCCCGTCTTGGGTCCATCCTCAATTTTGTTGGCTTCTGGGGCCTCAGACTGGTTCCCCTCCTCAGGGGTTTTAAACACCAACCCTATAACTAGCAGCCCCCAAGACCTTCAGCCTTTCTGTGTCCAAAGCCCAGCCCCACCTCCACTGACGAGGGCACCTGTTCTTCTAGCTGCTTTGCCCGACCCACCACACTTGGGCCCTCTCCTTCCTCCATGTGATGCAGACGCCCCTGCTGGTCTCCCCACCCCCACACAGTTCTCCCGCTTATGCTCAGCACAGCAGACGATCAAACCACAGACCCCCTTCCCAGGCCGTTGTAACTCAGGACAAGCAGGAGCCGTTACAGTGGCCCACCCCATTCTCCTGCTCCCTCTCCTGTCCCAGAGCCCACTGCCTCTTGGCTCTTCCTGGACACATTAGGTGTACTTCGACCACAGGGCCTTTGCACCACCCTTCCCCAGAGGGTGGCCCGGCTCCCTCCCTCCCCTCTTTCAGTCTTTGCCCAGCTGCTTGCTGTGGGGCCTCTCCAATGTTGCCTTTCAAGCTTAGGGGTTGGG